AGATGGCTTGTTGATGCTTTTTGTCTCATGCAACGCCACACAAATACCCACCAAATGAATCCAAATGATACGTACCCCGACAAAACATGTTGCTCTCTTCGAGCAAGGCCATGAGACTTCACCCTACATCTCCCGGAGCAAGTGACGTGCCTGCAGCGCTCCAAATGCTAAGGCAGCAATCCGCTCCTTCAAAGATCTTTGTGCATCTCATGGCAAGTGTGGACTTTCCCATTATAAAATAATTAGGCATGAAGCGTGAAGTGCACTCAACTACAAATGAACACCTTGGGTATATCCCGTCCCCTGTAACAGTGGATGGTAATCTTTATCGACTGTTACCGGTCATGGGACACACACACACACATGCAACGAACACCTAGTTTTGCAAGATTTAGAGTTGAAGTCCATTCGACATCAGCTCTCGCAAACCAGGTCATTCCGCTGGAATCTTCCAGCTCAGAATTCAGAATCCAACCACACGTTTCTGACTTCCACGCTCTACCAAATATCATCAAACATCCGGTCCAAAATCATTGAACCTACGCTTCAGGGATCGTAAATCCTCCTAGCAGTAACAAATGATGATGGTTCAGTCGCAGGCCTTGTTCCGGCGTGACGTTCGTTGTTCACACCCTTTCAACGTTCTGTTGCAGGTTTACGACTGGACACACCCGGTCTACTCATCTCTGCATCCACACCGGTCTACTCCCGCACCTCACAGATGCGAAGTCGTTCCCCCATGCTGGCGGCATGGACCTGGCCGTCACGCGACGGTTGGTCCGTCTTCCTCTCCATTTCGGACGAGCAAGGAACAGAAGCTGCAACTGTTTGGTGGTTCCGTGGGTCCCAGTGGGTCCCATCGGTTGCTTCATGCTTCACAATGGCTGATCTGAGAGCATAGCTGTTTAGTGAGCATAGCTGATCTGAGAACAGATGGGAGCCTCGTCACAGCGGTCACACCCGTCACATCCAACCCTCATCACACTCGCGCGCGAGCGCTGGCTCGTTCTCGATGCCTGCAAGAGCTGTGAGAGCTCCTCACCGGTGTCGCCCAAACGTTGTTGCAAGGACAGCTGCAGCGTCTGAACCTCGCGGTCAACCGGGATGGGGCAGGGAGCTATACAAACGATAAAACGGGGATTAGAAGGTCCAAAAGGAGGCCAAACCTATTTATTGGCAAGCGAGGTTAAAGCGAGTGGCGGTAGGTGGTTTTGGGGTTTAATTATCATCCTCTCAGATGAAGGAACAACACCTTGGGGAAAGAGAATCGGGCATGGTAATTCAGTGGAAAGGGCTTTTCGTTGGCCACACCTTGTCCTCGAGAAGACTTTCAAAGCTTTCTCTCAAGTCCTGCAATGCAGCACTGCCGAGGCATCCAAGGCTCTAAGGCTCGAAAGAAGTTCGTCGGTGTTCAAACCTTTCTGATTGAAAATCAGTGTTAGGAGTTCCCGAGCTCCTTTCGTGGTCTGCTAGAAGTCTCCAGATGTTGATTCCAATATGTCGAAGCAAGTGAACCATGGATCGCCGGGTTTCATCAGCTATCCATCTCCTGTTTCATGGCTTCCACGTAGCTCGCATCCACAGGGGCCTGGGCCAGCTCAAGTCCGCAAATGAACATCACGTTATTCCTGTGAAAGTAAGCATCCAACTATAAGCAGTTCATTCTGGACTCATTGCAGGAAAAAATTGAAAAACTTTCGTTATTCAAGTTGGCCCATCATGGCCCATCTATGCTCATCTGCTCCACCCATCGAATTCCTTCAACCACCGGTGGTGCAGTCACAGGTGACCCCACCGCAGCTGCGCTCTTTGAGACGTCTCCGGTCTGGCGAAGGCGGACCAACACCGGTCCAACGGTTCGGATCTTCCACCGGTCCAAACGTTTCGGTCGAGGTCGACATGCGCTTCGCCTCTTCACCGCTGTTGCGTGTGGGTGTCAGAGGGGTGCTTTGGTGCCAAAAGGATTGTGAACATGCAATGCAGTCAGCTGACATTGAAAACAGAAAACTGTACTCAAGCAATACCCAGACACTCCATGTATGGTACCATTCATGGAGTGTCTGGGAAAATCTGGCAAGATTGAGAGTTTCACAAATCACTGGCGGCCTCCATCTCTCGACGTAACAGCTGCTCTTCTCGCCACAAGTCAACACGGCGCTCCAGCCTGAAGACGTGGGTAGACCCCCAAATCCACAGAACGGAACCCTGATCTCGGTTCACACTTCACTTCCTCCGACTCGCCGTGCCATTGAGCCCAGTGCCCACCAACCAGTCCAACTCCTGGGCCCTCGAAGCCAAACAACCAATCACTGCGAACACCTGGGCCATCCTAGCGCACGCATCTGCTCTGCCAGGTCGCCAGACCTCACGTTCACGCACCACGGATGCTGGAGAACCGAACCCCACACGACGGAACTGCGCACGACGGGAAGCTCGCGAAGCGAAGCGAGCCACCGTTTCCTTGGTTTCCGAAAAGACGTCCGTGAAAGACGTCCGCTGGGAACTCGCAAGCTCTGTGAGTGAAAGACTTTGGAACGAGCAACCTTCTTCGTCCGATTTCGGATCGACATCCATCGTACCAGAAACAGAGTGTTTCTCTGATCCACATCCATCGACCACGTCTTCAAGGAGTTCCAAAAGAAAAAACACACACCGCCGCGCGTCGCTGAGATGTCCCCAAATGGTCCCAGCAAGTTCGGTGAATCGAACGTCCAAAGGTGAAGAAGCCGGCTGACCCGACCGCCCTTCCACCGCCCTTCCACCGCCCTTCCCCCAACACTACTAGGACCCAGAAGGCTATACTATGACCTGCGTTTTCTGCGTGTTCATGGCCAATCACCGGCTCGACCCGCTTCGTGCGGAAAGACATGCCGGCTCGGCTCGGTGGAGTCGTGCCTGGAGGGACCGGGGCTGCGGCGCTGCTTCGCGTTCGATGGGAAAGAAATGATCCGTGACCCCCAAAAAGGAGGCCATGATTCGTGATCCTGCCATTTTTTTGGGGAGAGAAACGATGGAGAACTGTGCTTTTTTGATATCGCACTCAGGCACAAAATGAGTCTTGGCACAGTTCGCCGGGCACACAAAGCAGATGCTTCTGTGTCTCCCAAAGGCTCATTGGACCCTCAGTTCGCTAGGGTTTTGACCCTCACAACTAGGGTGACATGGACCGAAGCAACATGTAGCAGTTGGTTCGAGTCCATGAGCCTCTGTGTCTGGAAAAAAAAGGCTGTTCTTCCGCGCGAGCGACGGAGAGAAAGACCGATTCGGGGTGGCACCTCGCATCCGGCAGGGAGGAGCCCTGATCGGTGGCAGAGAACGTCCGACGTCCGAGTGGCTTCGATGAGCCCGAGCCCAAACTCACCCAGGTCGAAAGAAATCTTCAAGGAAGACTGAGTGAGGAAGAGTTTGGCAGACACTTGTTTCAGGTAGACTGAGTGAGAAATACTACGTTCTTCATCTCGCCCCTCACGGCGAACCCGCGACCTCCAAGGTCTCCAGGCGCCGGCGCAGGTCGCGCGTCTCGCCACGGAGCTCCTGGCGCTCGGCCGCGACCGCGGAGCTCGGCGCGGAGCTCGGCTCGGTGGGGGGGGGGCAAGGAAGGTCTACAGAGGGAGAAAGCAGAGCCCACCTGCAGAAGAGGGTAAGTGAAGACTTCCTCCAGGGGAAGTGAAGACTTCCTGGGTTCACTTCCAACCCTCTGGACTTTACAAACTGACTCAATGGACCCTCCATTCACTTTCAGATCTTCCAGTTGCCTTAGTTTCTGGAAAGAGGTCCCGTGAAGAAACCGGTGTTCAGACACCCTCCAGACTTCTAGACCTTCCGCGCGACCCAGACACCCTTCCGGCGCGCGCGTCCTGCGCTTGAGACTCCCATTGCTGTTTCTCCGCCTGTCCAAAACACAGCCAGTTCGCTTCAGCTCTCGGCGCCGCCACAAGACGTGGACCAACGCGGACACGCGGACACGCTCGGGTGAAAGAAGACATGCGGTGACATGCAGGAGGCCTCCAAGTTGCTAGCAAAGCCCCTCACCACCTGGAGTGAACAGCGGCCAAATCCAAGCTATCAGTGCTAGTTCACTTCTCTTGTTTCTCTTTTTGAGTGGAAGAAACACATCGTCTTCGCTTGAATCATCACCCCGTGCCCCAATCAATAGGCGTATAAGTAGCATGGTGAAGGCGTTTTTTCACCCTAGGACCCTGCTACACTGTGGCTGTCACCCTGTGGCTGTCGCTTGGTACGTCTCTCTGAGATCCCAAGCGCTGTGCAGCCAACTTACAACGCCTTGCCTCGGGCGCAGGGGGAATGTACACTCCCTGGAATCGCCAACGTGGAGAACGCGTGTGGCCCCCGAGTTTGGAGGACCATGTTCGTCTACAAACAGGTGGTGAACTCCACTTCCATGATTCGTTCGGAGCGTAGATCACTGATGCGTGGTGCCTCTCTCACATCTGCAGGTGTCCAAATGCCCGAAAATGACATCAATCACATGCATGCCTTATATAAGTATATAGTGGTGACTATAAGTGACTATCCCATCATTGCAACCGTTCGTTCCAAGTTTCTCACCCACCCGACCCCGCCACCGCACGACGCCCCACGGTCAGCTCTCTGCGGTCTCCCCAGGTGGTCCGGCAGACCGGAGCTCTTGAGCGTCACCAAGGGCTCTCCAAGGCTGGGCCTTAGGGCTCTTGCCGAGCCGGTGGTCGGTGGAGACAGGTTCTGCTGGGGTTTAGCCGTGTTCGGAAGTTGGGATGAAGGTCGGTTTGGGCGACGCGTGTGGGTGCTCAGCCCAAATGGAGGTAGTTGCGACACAGAACAAGTAGGTTGTTGTGAGAGCTTTGGGTCTGAGCTTGTACTTCGTCAGCACCAACACCTCCTTCAAGACTCTGGGGTGCTGTTTCTCAGACTTTGACCTATCGCCTATTGCCTCAGAGAAGACGGAAGACATATGGATCTCAACATATCTCATACGCAAAGGGCATGGATGGTCGGCCGTTTTGCTCGTGCAGCAGTGAAACCATTGCTGTTCCTCCAGTGGAGAATGAGGAACGGCAGCCCAATCTGCGCGCGGCCCGGATCGCTGATTGCATCACCAGGGTGGCCTTCAGCGCTACTCCCAAGCATGTTGGGAAGCGAAGTCGACCCATCGAAGATCATTGCACAAAAAAACACTTTAAATGACCTACAATATCCAGCGTTCATGATTGGTCATCTAACCAAGACCGATCCATCCTTTTCATGGTGCTTCTACTGGTGTTTCTCCTATATAGATATATACGCATATGTCTCTACCGACCTCGATGTGACACCGAGCGCTGGCCACCCCGGTCGTTTCGCCGACGGTCAGCGACGCAACCAGGACGGAGGAGTCGCGCGGCTCACGAGGACTCCCAACAGCAAGGACACGGACCTCGGTGGGTTTGGCCGGGAACCTGGACAACGCTATGAGTTCATTTGAGTGGTTCATTTGAGTTAAGGTAATACATCATCTTGGTACATGCCAGTCTTATTTCAAGAAGTAGAGTCCAAAGAGTGACAACTGTCTAGATTTGGGTCCCCAAGTCACCATCCTCTTTCCGTCCTGTTCTTTTCCATCGACGGCCGACGTAGAACATGTGGTCCCTCCCCTCCCCAGTCTAACAATCGATCGGTGGATTCCTTCGGAGAAAAAGCAAAGAAAGGCACCGCTACTCTCCGGTCCAGTGGCATGAGTGAAATCAACGATAGACTCGAAGGAGAGGAGAATTTCCAGCTCGAAAGGCCAGAAAGTCCACTGGCCACATGTGTCGCGACATGTGTCGCGACACCTGTGGTCTCAGGTGGAAAGTTGTAAGTTTTGTAGAAGTCTCACCTAAAGTGACCACACCATGGGTGTGTGTGTGTGTGTTAACACCTGTCCCTAAGGTTTGTACCTGGTAAGTCTGCCGTAGGTTCCACTAGAAGGCTGGGTGCTACTAGTAGCTTCTGGCCTTACTACTAGGAACCAAACAGAAACAAACACAGCGCGAGTCAAAAAAAAAGAGGCAGGGGGTAGCGGCAGATCATTTGGGACCGCTACCAACGGAGACGCCCACTTGATCTGGTGAACATCAGAGTTGGCCACTCTGACGTATCTGCTGCATCTCTTTGAACGGTTTTTCAAGCTGTCCACTGCGGTGTTTTGCATTAGGCAGTTCGTACTCACAAAACAAAATGTTCAACATCTTCAAGTTCTCGGACTCCGCCACCTTTCGGTTATTGCATTTTCCCGTTCACCAAGTCAAGGGGGACTTCATTCTGATCCTAGCTCTTGCGAGCAACCATCTAAGTGTGTGTTTCTTTTTTGGAACCCCTACTGAAATTAGACCAAGGACTTCTTCCTTATAAACCTGCTTGAATGATCTTTAATGCTTGTTTTGGTCATTGGGGTTCGGCACCGCGCCTGAAAGCATTTGAGAGGTCGAAGGACCTTCCACCTCACTGAGAAGCCACTCGCTCAAGGACTTCCGGGGCCTCTCCTCTTCATCCGGAGGTCTGGGCACCACGGGTAGATCTTCGAAGCGGCTGTCGTATCCGTCGTGCTCCGGCGGCGGCTTCTGCGAGCTGGCGAAATCCAAGGCACGCTGCAAGTCCTGGCTGCCAAAGGAATGCGGCGAAGCGGCGAGACCGGACGGCGACTCAGAGGGACTTCGATTTGAAGTGCCCGAAAGCCAGTCGTCGTCGTCGTCGTCCGAACGACTGGCTCGACCCACGACGTTTCACGACTGGAGGCGGGGTGAAGGCCCGGTCGCGACGCAGGTCCCCTCGATTCCAGCGGCCGATGGCCGGTCCTGCAGCAGATCCCGGACGTCCTCGATACCCACGGAGAGGCGCACCAGGTCGGCGGGCAGAGTGCGTTCCTCTGCCGGGATGGAGGCGTGGCTCATGGTGCAGGGCATCTCGCCCAAGCTGTTGACCGACCCAAAGGACACCTGGGGGCGGCGGAAGATAGCGGAAGCAAAAAGAAAGCGGAAAAAGCAGATCCAGGACAACAGATCCTGGAAGAACTGAAGAACGAAGAAGACATTCCATATGTCCGTTCTGCATAGCTTCACCCAGTTAGTGGAGGAAAGCATGCCCTCCTTTTGGCGTACGTGGAGACGGAGGATCAGCGCCACTTCGTGGGTGGGCCACTCGTCACTCAGTCGGAACCTGAACCTCACCACACTTGAAGCAAATCCTCACCACACTTCGACCCTGTTACCGGTGAGGTCCGGCACTGAATTCCTGTCTTCGATCCAGCCCAAACCTCGCGTGGACACACGCCCAAGGCGCGGTGGTCTTAAAGAGCCTCGAGGCGTCGAGGAAGCGGCGCGAGAAGGAGACCGAGCCGGTGGTGAAGCTGATGATGCAACCGCAACCGGAGCTCTGAGAGTTGTGGATGCGCAGTGCTTCACTGCTACAGCCACCGGGACCTGGGTAGAAGACTTCCTGGAGAGGGAGGAAGGTTTAGAGACCAAAGGATGAGAAAAAGAACACCTGGCCTGGCATGGGAGAATATGATATGAGCTCTTCCTATGGGCTTCGGGGGAGTTGCCACCTCATGAGGTTAGAGTATTTGTATTTCCCACGAACTCAGAAAAACCTTTGGGGTCCACGAAGAGTCATAGACAGAACAAGTGCTGGAGTATCAAACGGTCATGGAAGTGGAACGGTGGGCCCCTTTGGGAATTCCCAAAGGCTTGCGCCTTCTCTTCCCTTCCAATCACATCGGATTCATCGAATCGTCTGGCCACATCAGCCGCATCTTCACAACGAATCCCAACGATCTGAAGCAAAGTTTCGACCGGACCTTCTGAACCGTTTGGCGTGACCGATCTGGATCGCAGAGTTCGGTCCTTGATCCTGGGATGCTTCGCGAGAGCCTTGGCGATCTGCACGGTGTTCTCCTGCGCACGGTTCACGCGGAGCCACATGGTTTTGATGCCGCGCAGGAACAAGAAGCACTCGAAGGGTGCCAAGGCGGTTCCCTCCGCGTTCTGCAGGAAGGCCACACGATGCGCCAGCTCGGGATCGCGCACGCAGACCAAGCCTGATCCATGGGTCGCCGGTCGCGCGGTTCCGGGTTGAAGTAAAGAATAAAGAAGGACTTGCTGCAAAAGGACTGGTTTTGCGAGCTGTTTTGGGATTGGGTTTTCCCCTCTGTGTTGGACATTCTTGGAACCCTATAGTCTTCAAACCATTTGGAGCAGAGCTATATAATTCAACTGAATTGTTCTCTGACCCCCCTGCAAAAAATAAACAGCTCCTCCCGTGCAATCCGCATGCCCGGAGAAGAACTTCGTCGCGGAGTGCACTACAAGATCCACCCCCAAGAGCAGCGGTTGGCAAATCACGGGGGGCATCATCGTGCTATCCACTGAGAGCAAGACTTTATGCTGATGGGCCAAGGTGGCCAATTTGCGCAAGTCTGAGATCTTCATGCGTGGATTGGAAGGGCTTTCAGTATGAATGATCTTGGTCTTGGGAGTGATGGCCTTCGCAACTGCCGTCAAGTTTGTGGTATCCACAAAGGTGACTTGAACACCGTTGTGCGCACAATCTTGGGTCAGCAAACGATGCATCCCACCATAGATGTCCTCATTGACCAAGATTTCATCACCCTGCTTCAGCAAACGTGTCACGGTATGCAAGGCAGCCATTCCAGAGGAGAATGCAAACGCTGCAGCTGCATGCTCCAACATGGCCACATGCTTCTCCAAGGCCGTTCGCGTGGGATTCCCACTGCGGGTGTAATCATAGGGCCCGAACTCGCTGGAGGACGGCTGCACAAAGGTGGAGGTTTGATAAATCGGCGTATTGGAGGGATGATACGGATCCTCTGGGCCAAAAAACATCACAAGAGACATGTGAGTCCACATTAATAGGTCTTCGTTTTCACAGTTGACTTTAATGGGTCGCTCTTACGGATCCTCTGGACACCCATCGAAGACCACGCATTGACTCGCCGGCTGCAGCGCGTTCTCGAAGCCCGCGAAGTTGGGCCGCACCGGGAAGGTGGGCAGGTCGTCGTAGCGACAGCGGCGGGTCTCCTGTGGAATCGTGCGGCGGTAGCGGTGTTTCCGCGCAGCTCTCGGTTGGTGAAACGGCGGCTTTGCGAAAGAAATCTCGGGAGCTCATTCAGGCTCATATTCCCTTATTCCCTACCAAGCACCAGTTAGGGAAGGATTTGTTCCAAGCCATTTCAGCGCCGTACAGCGTTGCGCAAGCCGCAAGCCGTTGCTTTTCCGTGGGCTTGACACAGTGTGACCCTCGTTAAACGGTGCAAGATAGCGCAAGCTGTGCGGATATGCAGAATGCTTGTGGGTGGGATCCAGGCTTGAACAAAAAAGACCAATCCTTAAACCCTTATAAAGACAATGACCTGAACTCACTTGTCCACTTCACGTTTTGCCATGCCGCGCGCCTGAGGATATCGGATCTGACTGAAGTCGATGGAGTCGCCGATGGACCCGCGCACACGTTCCAACTTCTCGGTCTTCGCCGAGTGGTCACCGGAGTGGTCGCCACTTCCGTCCGCCTTCCAGGAACGCCACATGGCATTCTCGATCCGCGCTGCATCCACCTCGAGTGGACCCGCGCATCCGCGCGAGCAAATCCACGGTGTGGCTTCGGAGGCAAAAAGCCAATCCACGGTGTGGCTTCCGGACCGCCGTGAAGCACGAGTCATGTGTATAGTGCGTTTGAGGAAGTCCAAATTACGCTTCGGAGTCATGCCTATTCCTCCCAAACCGGTTTGGGCCGTGGAAACTCGGCTTTTGGGAGGTCACCTCGAGCCTGGCACCCCTTCTTCCGCTGCCCACCCACCTTTACCGATGCTGTGCAGAGGCTCATGGACTCTCAAACTGCTACATGTTCAAGGTCCAAAACTGTCCAAAACCCTAAGTTGTGAGGGTCAAAGCCCTAGCTATGAGGGTCCAATGAGCCCTTGGGGGGGGGGGAAGAATTGACCAGCTACCAGGACACCCTGTTTGGGGTTTCCATGGATAGCTCCTTAGAGGTTAAGGCTTAATCCACGCACCACCCCGACAGTGGGTACTGGTATGATGCTTACAAATGGAGATGAAATGAACATTGCCAGCTATTTTTCGAGTGGCCGTGGATTTGACGAGAAAAACCGCGTCCCGCACCATCTCGCCGATCGCCCTGGCTTGACGCCTTCTTCTCCCGATGTCCGAACCGATGTCGACCAGGGGGGTTGATGGCGTTAACTGGGAGGTGTCTCCCTATTAAAAAACACACACACCCAACTACACACCCATGATAGTATCATTATAGCGATATATTTCAGTTTCACGGTGCTCATCGAGCGAGCCGATGTTCGGTTTGCACCTCCTCCTGGAACTCCAGCTGGCCTTTCGCCATGGGCAAGGAGACACCGCTACGCTAGACGCGCGGCGGAAGGGAGGATAGGCCGCGCCGGTGGATGCGAAGAGAGATCTCTGAAAAGAGATCTACCAAACTCTTCATGTCCCATCTGGTGTGTCTGTGTGCGTCTCTTCACTGTCCATTCACGGTTCGCTCGCTGTATCTGTGAGTGATGTTGGATTGCTGTGTCCGTCACTCAAGGCAGTGAAACTGCTTCGTCCAAATCGCTCGCAGCAAGATGTGTCCGGTCTCAGTCTTGAGCCGTTGAGCCGCCCAAAAAGCACAGGAAAAACATAGAAAAACACAGTCCCAGAGGCTCATGGACTCGAACCAACTGCTACATGTTGCTTCGGTCCATGTCACCCTAGTTGTGAGGGTCAAAGCCCTAGCTGCCCTGAGGGTCCAATGAGCCTTTGGGGTCACACAATTGGTGTATGTGTCACAACTGCCCCGAGTCCTTCGGACCAGAATCCAGCGCACCCAGTCCTTCGCCCCCAAGGTCCGTCCTGGAGCCCCTGCTTCGACCTGTCTTTGGTCTGACGAGTCCGATCCCCCCTGACGAGTCCGTTGGTCAGAGTCACCCCTTCCAAAAATAGGACCAAGAAGTTCGCTACTAGATTGGAGGCCATGGATCTACTAGGGTGGAGGCCATCGCTAGTCCATTACTACTAGGTTGGAGGCCATCGCTAGTAGGTTGGAGGCCATTACCAGCAAAAGCTAGCTACGCTACGACCTGCCAGGTCTCCGACCGTCCGTCTTCGGCTCCCCGGCGGCGAATGGATCCGCGGATGCGCCATGGCCGGAACAGCCGCGCCGCGCCGCCGCGGTTGGCGCCCGCGGTTCGTTCTGGGGAGAGACGACACGGGAGAAGGTCTGGAGGGGGTTTTACGACACGGAGGGTTCTGGGAGAAGGAAGATCCCTTCCCTTTTTTTTCACGTTTTGAAAAGGGAAGCAACATGCGGCAGCCATCTCAGCGGGCCCTCCTGCATGTCACATGGGGCAAGTCATGTCACGTCATGTCTCAAGAACCGGAAATCATACCACTCTGTGAGTGATGCAGAGATTGTGAGAGGAACCATGGTATGATTCTTTGGAACGTCATCCATGGTTGGACCAGCCCCTTCACCCACCCAGGCTCGTGGATCGCGTTCGTCTGCACGGGGTCGGGTCACAAGCTGGTCGTGTCTCGTTTCGTGTGACCAAAAGCAATCAAAAATGCCTTCGTCTGAGCGGTCGAAAGGCATCTGACCAAGGCTCTGAAGACGCGTCCTTTTTCAACCGGCCACTGCTTCGGAAGAGCTAAAAGTAAGAATGCCAGGAGCTGCATATCTGTCGCAAAGGGTTCAAACTCTTTCTGGCTTGGGCTTGACATGTTCTGGGATGCAGGGCTCTCATTCACCTAAAAACAACCCCTGTTCTGATGATTTCCGAAGGCAGCTCTACTCCTATCAGTTGCTTCATCCTCAAAAATACTGAAACTGCTCTATCAGCGTGAAGATGCGCGAAGCTACACACAGAATGCCCTCAATGGCACCAAGGGTGCCGCGAGCTCGTGGGCAAGACAACTAACTCATGATATGTTTGTTGGTCCAGAGCGGTATCAGAGTGGGACCCACTCGATTTACATTCTGAGATGTTGCTATCATGAATATTTCATTATGATTCTGAACCATGATGCTAAAACAGGGTTTGCGCCAAGACCTCTGCCGGGTGTTTGCCACACACCCGAATGGTTCCGGAACACCACGATGGACAAGTAACTGGCCATGAAGGGCAAGTGCAGGGCTCAGCACGATACAAGCATTGGCAGTGACATCATCAGCAAAAGCTTTATGGAACTTTTACATACTTTTACAGCTTGTGCTTTGATCTGGGTGGTCTATTGAAATTCGGGAAACTTCAAGAAGGAAGCAAATTCTAGTTCCTATTCTCCCCACAGAATCACACTTGTTACAGGTTGGCCATGGGTGCTCACACCGTTCCAATCCTTCGTTCCAATCCTCCTCTAGCAGGTTGGAGGCCATCGCTATCCTTCTCTCTGTTTTGGATCTGCCGGTGCAACTTCACACCTTCACACAACCGAAGCCGGCTGTGAGCCTCAGACTTCACCGAAGACTTCTCAGTGGTGATGGTCCTGCGCAGGGCTCTTTTCGCGTTTTTCTCGGTTTTCAATTTCTTTACGTGTAAAAGACATGGCCCCCCCCAGATCGATTTCGAGATGTTTCTTGGAGTCTGTTTGGGTGAAAAACCAGACAAATCAATCCAAAGAGGATGATAGATCGATCGACTTAGATATCACCATAAAAAAACCGCGAGACTCAGCCCTCTCGCCCAGTAACGTTGCTTCACCCTGTTTCACCTCCTGCGGCACCCCCAAAACGGTGCCGAAACCTTCCTTCCACCTACATCGGTGCCAGAGGTCTTCGATGGCAGTTGAGTTGAAAGGACAGGAAGATTGGTGGTGGAAAAGCTTCTGCAACAGCTTCTCTGGCACACTGAATCAACTGAATTTCATCGTGAATTCTGGAGGACTGCGCCCAGTCAGGCAGCCAATGCGACCCTCTGATGGTCAACTCAGTACGCCTCCAGAGTGATGTCCAATCCAGCGTAGCCCCACTTGTGTGCACGACGTTGGCACATCATGTGGGAGTAGTGGTGGTGATCGAAGTAGATGCCTCCACACGCGATCGAAGTAGAGGCAGATCCATACAAACACAAAAAGGCTCTCTGAGGATCTGCTAGAGGAGTCACAGTGAGGGTCCAGAAAACATGCTAGATGCCCTGAGACAGTAGATTCTTCTGCTCCTTCTCTTGATCTTGGGCCTTCAAGAACACTCGCAAACTCAACTCCAGCCCCCCGGTGTAGCAACAAACAAAAAGAAGAACACACACACCAAGAACAAAGAAGAAGCACGAGGTTCGACCGGATTTCCGCGCCGTAATAGAAATCGTTGAAGTTCTTCCAGTACTCCTCACGGTCCATGAAGATCTCGTTGGGCTCACGCCTCGTCGGCGCTTCTTCCGTCGAGCGGGACCGCCCGCCCGAGGCGTGTGGCTCCCTTGTTTTCGGATGGCGAGTGATGATTTGTTCAAGGAGATTCTTTGGTGCCATTGGTGAAACAAAAACGGTGACACTATAGCCTATAGTGCCTATAGCTTTTGGACTAGCTTTTGGCATATTAGGTGTGGCGGCATCACTCGGAAGTCGGAGCAACCGGGCCCCTGAGGGTACCATCTGGCATGCGCACGACCCCGACTCTGTCAAAAAGAGGGGGAATATCTTGTGCCATCACGCGTCCAATCAACGCCATCCACCAAATCAGTACCTGGAATGAAGAGGTGACGTTTTTCTCAGAAAAAACGTCACCTATTCATGCCAAACAACTATCTGAGTCGGCTGATCCTATAGCAGTCGGCTATGCGGAATGAGATCCATCGCTCCTTTGCTCGGTCGACGGCTCGGCTCGGGACATGCGACGGCTCAAAGGTCAAGTGCCGGGAGAGTCGGTGTTCCTCTCTCATCCTGATCTACTGAGAAAGACGCCCTAAACAACGTGACGAACTGAAAAGGGTTTTCCGAGTCTCCTCATGTCCGACAGTTACATCAGCACTCTCTCCCTCTCTGTTTCAATATTCCTGACACCCTTTGAAGCAGTTACCCCCCCTTATGCCACGTCATCCGCCTGTGCTCAAGCCAGACGAAGAACATGGTCACGGACACTGGCGTCTTAGAGGACACACAGGCTTCGTGGCTTCTCCGATTCGACGTCGTCTTGGGACCGTCGTTCAAGGCTTTGACAGGTGAATGTTGCTAGTAGAAACAAGTGCCTTACTGCTATTAACAAGTGCCTTACTGGTAGTAACAAGAAGCTACTAGAAACAAGTGCATCGCTACTAGTAACAAGTGCCTTACTAGTAGTAACAAGAAGCTACTAGA